CACACATATATTTCTATGTGTGTAAAACTATATATGCAAATACACAGAAATGTGTCCTGAAGCACCAAATCAAACTAGGATTCAGGAAGATCGTAGCTAAAGAAGACTTTTGGCTGGTGCGGTGGCTCATGCCTGTAATCCCAGCACTTTGGGAGCCTGCAGCAGGCAGATCACTCAAGGTCAGGAGTTCGAGACCAGCCAGACCAACATGGCAAAACTTCATCTCTACTAAAAATACAAAAAAATTAGCTGGGCATGGTGGCAGGCGCCTGTAATCCCTGATATTTAAGAGGCTGAGGCAGGAGAATCCCTTGAACCCAGAAAACTGAGGTTGCAGTGAGCTCAGATTGCACCACTGCACTCCAGCCTGGGCAACAGAGTAGGACTCTGTCTCAAAAAAAAAAAAAGAAGAAGAAGAAGCAGATTTGATCCAAAAGGAAGGGAAGAACAAGACAAGAGGCTGTGAAAAAGAAACCCACACACTGTGTGAGTATGTGTGTGGAGGGCAGGGATGAGAAACATTTCAGAACAGAATCAATTCAGCCTCGCACAGAAAGGAATAATGAAGACAGGAGGCAGCAACTTCAGGGCTGTCTGATTTGAAGGAAATATTAAAGGCTTTGTCAGGAAAGGGGAACCACTAAGTCAGACAGAAGCGCCAGACTGAAGGACAAAAGGTCACAGCCCCACATCCTCAGCGAGTGTCCTCAGAGCCCTCGGGTGCCAGGCATCTGCCGTGCTGTTGATTTATTCTGCAGTGAGTCACTGGAACCCTGAAACTGAGGGCAAGGGTGAGATCATTACCCCAGAAGGCAGGGAGCAGAGACAACAAGGCCCTTGGGGTCCAGGGAGCTGAACCCGCCTAGTCAGAGGCCAGTGTCACAAAACCAGCAAAGAATTCATATCTAATAGGTTTTCCTCAGGGCTCAAATGAGTAGAATCAGGAGTCACCAGAAGGCTGTGATACCAGGCAGGATGACAAACAAAAACAGCCAAACAAGAAAACAAGCTGCGGAGTGTTTGCCCTGGCAGAACAAGGGGTATCCAGGTAGAAGCCTGAGAGAGGCCCCAGCTCCTCCCTCCCCACAACTCAGAGCCACCAGGGACCTGGACCAGGGGTCTGTGACTGCAGGGGGCTGAAACTGTCGGCCATGTGACCTGAAATTATACTCCTGGATTCTGGAGGTAGATGCCTTGGAAATAAACTCCAGAATTCCTCACAGCTAAACCATGTTATTCACATATTAGGCAAAAACTACATTACAGAATACCAATCTCAGACAAGTTTACTCTTAGACCTTGATTAAGTGAGACAAGGCAAGCCTGCTTCATAAGTTTGTCTGAGCACGGACCCATAAAAAGGTCATTGTGCCACCCACAAAATACCAAACACCCCTTCTCTTGGCTAAAAGAAATGTTTGCTACTTCTTTACCAATTACAGTTTTCCCCTCGTTCTAGTCTCCCCTCCCTAAAGAAAATATTTATTTGGATATTCATTCACAGAATCTGCTCTATTTTTGAGCAGCTTTAATCTAGAGCAACCCCCCACTTCCTTAGACCTTCCCCCAAATCACCTAGCCAAAGCCCAAATCCTATCATAGGCTTTTTCCTAACACTCTTATTGAGATGGGCCACACTCCCTATGGGGTGCGTTCTCCCTTGCTGCAAGGAGTAATAAACCCAGCGTGTTCAATGGCAGTTATGTTCCTGGGGGATCTTTGGCTGGAAAACACGGATAACACTCAGTGTTCTTTGCTTCCTTCTTAACCCTCTGGGATCTACATTGAAGATCTGGCCCCATGTTGTGTGGGAGAAGCTGGTACAAAGGCAGGAGGTACTCTCAGAAAGGACAGAACCAGTCATGCATTCACTCAACAAATATTTATGAAGCACCCACACATGCCACAGACTGTTCTAGGTGCCAAGGACAATAGGCAAATAAAGCAGGATCCCTGGATTTTCAGGAAGCTCTCAGTTGGGGTAGAGGTGAGAAACACACAGAAACAGACCATCTTGAGTTGTGGCGATTGGTGCAGTGATTAAGGTGTTCCCTGGGGACTGCTGTGTGCCCATAGAGGAGGTGCCTAAACTAGTGTCAGAGAGGAGGAGGGATCAAGAAAGGCTTTCAGTGACGGAGGCGTTTGAGGCCCTGGAAGGCTGAGGACAAGTGAAGAAGAAGGAACAATGAAAGTGGGTCAGGGAGATGTAAACAGTGTGGTGAGTGGGGAATTTTAGGCAATTTGGCCTTTCTAGAGTGAAAAATGGGAAACAGTTAGGGGCAAGGGTTACACTGAAGGCACGCCAATGTGGAGCTCAGGCTTCATCCTTTAGAGAATCTGGGGCCGGGCGGGGGAGGGGGAGGGCGGGCATTATTGAAAGTCCAAAAAGTCCTAACATGACCAGATTATATTTTTAAAAATCATTTGAATATCTACAACTTACTTTAAAATGCATACAATTATAAGATGGATAGATGGATGAAGGAATGGATCAATGGAAACATATTTGATAAAGCAAGTAGAGTAAAATGCTGATGACAAAATCTAGGTGGTGGGTATTTGGATGGTCACTGTAAAATTCATTCAATCTTCTGTCAGAGGATTTTCAATATAAAATTTTAGAAAAGCATAGACTTTGGCCTGGGTAATGGGAGGTGGATTGGGCCGAATAAGTCCGGAGGCAGGGAGATGAGAAAGGCATTGTCATAATCCAGGTGAGGGCTGATCTAGACAGTGCGGGAGGAAGGTGGGTGGAGTCCTGTGGTAGGTGCTAACATCAAAGACTTTGGGGCCCCAAGGACTGTGAGAATGAGGAAGAAGAAAGAGTTGAGGAGAACACCTAGGTTGGGTGACTGGGTGGGCGTTCATAGCAACATGAGTAGAAAACAGGCAGCAGGAACAAGTCTGGGAAAGGGGGACAAGATGACTTCATGACCTCAAATTTCAGTGGGAATATTCTTTGGGAGCTCACAGACACCTGGCTCCTCAAGGGGCCGCTCTGGTAGGGGAAGGGGCTCAGTGCCATGGGTCTCTGTCTCTTGACACTTGCCCCAGTTTTCACTGGATTTCCCCAAGAGTGGAGTGGCTCTTACTCTCCCTCACTAGAGAGCAGCTCTTCCACCCTCCTAAGGACTCCTCCACTCCCGCCATGCTTGCGCCTCTTACCTTTTGGAAACCATCTTTCTCCTTTCTTTGGTCTCCCGGGCCAGACATTCAAATTGGATCCTTCCGTGAGAATACACCCTCTATCCCCACTATCTGTTTATCTTTCTCCTCACCTTGGCCTCCCCCAAGTGTTGTCCTTGGCTCTCTTTTCCAACGCCATTGTTTCTTTTTTATGTCCTCACTTTCCCGTGGGTGACAGGTTATGGAGTTGTGGGTTGAATTGTGTCTGCCAAACACATGTTGAAGTTCTAGCCCCGAGTACCTATGCATGTGACTTTATTCAAAAATAGGGTCTTGGCCAGTTGAGGTGGCTCACCCCTGTAATCCCAGCACTTTGGGAGACTGAGGAAGGCAGATCGCTTGAGCTCAAGTGTTTGAGACCAGTCTGACCAACATGGCAAAACCCTACAAAAAACACAAAAATTCACCAGGCATGGTGGTGTGTGCCTGTAGTCCCAGCTACTTGGGAGGCTGATGTGGGAAGATCTCTTGAGCCAGAATGGTGGAGGTTGCAGTAAGCCGAGGTTGTGCCACTGCACTCCAGCCTGGGTGATAGAACCAGACCTTGTCTCAAAAAAAGAAAAAGAAAATTGAGTCTTACCATCAAGTTTAAATCAGGCCTTCTTATAAGGGTGGGCCCTTATAAGAAGAGGGAAATTTTGACACAGACACAGGGGAGATGGGACGGCCATGTGAAAATGGAGTCAGAGATTGGAGTGATGCATCTGCAAGCCACAGAATGGCGTGGATCGCCAGCCAATACCAGGAGCTGGAAGAGGCAATGAAGCGTTCTTAGACCCTTTGGAGAGAGCATGGCTCTGCTGACACCTTGACTTCAGGCTTCTTGCTTCCAGAACTGTAAGAGAATGTGTCTGTTGTTTCAAGCCACACAGTATATGGTGATGTGTTATGGAAGCCCTAGGAAATTAATATAGGGGATAAGTGTGTGTGTGTCTGTACACACGTGCACGTGTGTGTGACTGTGTAGGGAACTATCATGGAAAGGTTATTATTTGTTATAACCATTTTATCACGTATTTTATGGGATTTTATCTTTTCAAGACAACTTTGCATGTGCTTTGGGTTAAAAGACCTGAGTTCGAACAGTCATGCCATATTTGGCATGTGGGAATGTAATGACACCCAATTCAAGCAGTTGCGAGAAGCAAATGGAATGATATACTGTATCTGAATCCATTTAGTGAACTGTTCAGCTCTGTAAACCTGTTGTTAGTACTGTCATAGCTGTGTGAAGGGGCAGTAAACACTTTGGACGGGGGAATGGAAATCTAGGCTCTTGGCAAGGGTTCCGTATTCACTTGACTTCATGACACTCTTTAAGTAAATGTGCTTCTGAGAGGCTCCTAAAGAGGGCACACCTATCCCTCACAGCTGAGTAGAGTGTGGTCATAGTTCAAGGTTAAATTAAGGTCCAGGTTGGAAGACCTTCCCAAATTTAAACCTTGCCACAAAGTATTCTTTCATTTACTTTGAATCCTTCCTTCATTTAAATCCCTTTAGGAACCAGGCTCTGTACTGCTCAAGGAGGGTGGGAGAGTGACACGAAAATGAGTAAAGACACTGCTTCTGTTCTCAGGACTTCACAGTCGACTTGCAGTAAGTGCTGCAGGGAGATGGCTGTAGTGGCTTTGGGGGTGTGCACACTTCCAACAAGAAGAGTCAGGACCCCTGCCAGGGAAGGCTTCCTGGAGGAGGTGAGGTGGAGCCTGCCAGGGAAGGCTTCCTGGAGGAGGCGAGGTGGAGCTAGTCCACGAAAATTGAGTGGGATTTCCAAGACATCAGTCTTTTGCGGGAAAAGAGAAATTAACACATGGTTTTAATTTAGTAAATATTTATTTAAAAACTACCCCATTCCAGGGTTCGTGCTAAGTGTCAGGGGTTGGTAGAGCCAGGAAGTATAAAATCAACTTAAAACAGTGGAGAAAGATCTCCCTTTCTAGTAAGGAAGTTAAATCTGTACACAATGAAAGGAAACAAGATAAAAGGCGCGAAGTCCATGACCTTGACGAGGGCTGTGAGAACTGTAAATAGAGAATTTGGGCAGTCCCGGGTGATCTGAATAAACGTCCGGAGGGGCGTTGCTTGCGGGTCTCGGCCTGCTTGTCACCAGCCCTCTGTTTTCCCCTCCTTAGGGAGGTGAAGGCTGTTTATGTAATCGGCGGCGCCTCGCGGGCGACCGGGGGAACTGGATGGGGGAGCCGGGCCAGGGCTGACTGCGCGCCCCTGGAATCCGCGCTCCGGGCGTTGGCTCGCTCCCGCCCTTACACCAGAGCCCGCCCTCCCGCTGCGCAGCCACGCGCCGGGCAGCCGGGTGGTCGAGCGGGCGACTCCCCAAGCCTCTTGCAAAACTGCTTTCTCCCTACCCCACCGAGGCGGCTGGAAAATCCTACAGACGCCTGATCCCATCCGCCTACCCAGTCCCCAGCAGGACTGAAGGAAGAGGAAGAGGAAGGAACCCATAATCATCTCAAACTCTGGCCCAGATCGTGCGTTTTACTCTCCGTAGGTCATTTCGTCTCTGTGTTTCCAACCTCCTCGCCCTTTTACTTTTTGGGGATCTCTTAGGAAACAGGAGCAGTCCTCCTCTGGGTTTAACTTCAGTCCTTCACACGACAACACTAGGAATGATCAAGACTTTCGTTTTGGGTAGTGGTGATGCGGGTTTGAGAGGAGGAAACATCTGGTCCTGGGAAAAATTTTGGTTTCTGAGTACTATGAAGAACTAGAAAAGTTCTGAGTATGTCGGTTTTCAGGATGAGGTTCGGATGGGTCAAAGCCTTGTGCAGGGCCATGGGAGCTGCAGGAGATAAGGTGGAGGAAGAGAGAGGGAACAAGCGGGGTCAGTGGTCCAGGCCCCCGTGTCTGTCTTAACCAGGATGCAGCTAGATGCTTGCACTTGGCAGCTTTTTCAACCACCTGTTGATAGACGTTTGTTTCCGGTCTTATCCTGTTACCAACTGTGCTGCAATGAACAGCTTTGTGTATAACTTTTTAGTGTATTTGATCCTTCCTTTTCAATCCAGGCATATTGCAGGAAGGAAGAAACTTGAGAGACAGAAGGAATATTTAAAGCAGACATCAGGACTGGATCAGGAGGAAGCCCAAAGTGTGTAACCTTCCCATAGGGCTGCTGGTAGCCTAGCTTCAACCCTTCCAGCTGCAGCACATCTCAAAATGAGGTGGTGGAGGCGAGACGCGAGTGAGGAGGAGATGCAGAGGAAGGCAAAGAAAAACTCTAGGGACCCAGGGTGATCTGGGTGCCAGGAAACAGAAGCTGGAAAAAGGGGAAGATCTGCCCCGGGAAGGAGGCATGGAAAGTGTGGATGTGGGTGCTCGAGGGGGCGTCGCAGAGGACTACCTCTCCCCCGTAATCCACGCCGAGGGCCAGTTTGTTTAGACAGACCTGGAGATCCTTCAGTGAGCGCCTGGCACTGGGAGCCAGTGATGTGCAGCAAAGGCTCCACCTCCGGAAAGCCCCGCCTGGGGACCAGCTCCGAGGCCACGCCCAGCATTTAGGCCCCGCCCCGGAACCTTGGAGCTCCGCCTCCCAGGCGCAACTGCCTGAGGAAAGCCCCCTGGCGAGCCCAGCACCCAGCAGTGCTGGGTCTAGCCCCTCAGGGTCTAGTGGGTGTTCTGTGTAGGGAGACGATAGATTGTAGACAAGAAAGACACAAGACACAGAGATAAGAGCAGAATTCAGCTGGGCCCTGGGGACCCCTGCTACCACGGGGCGGAGTCCAGCAGTGGCCCCAGTGCCTGGACGCACTTATATTTATTGTATACAAGGCAGGGGGGCAGGGCGGGAGAATAATTTATCTGACATGATTGGTAGGGGTCAAGCAAATCACATTCTTACAATATGGGGGGGGTCACGTAAGTATAGTACAGAGGGTCAGGTCGGTACAGTACAGAGGGCCCCTCCCTCTTAGGTAGCCGCTGCAAGGAGGGGAGGCACATACGTCAGAATCTTTCTATGCACTTATCAGAGAGATCAAAGGCCTTTTAGGATTCTTCTATTCTCACTTCTCACAGCTTCTAAGAATTTACAAGGGATCATCGGTGGGAAAGTGGAACATGAAAGTGGACAAGGATGGTGACCATCAGTGGAGAGATGTTTAAACCCCTGGAAGTCTGTGGGCTGGCCCGGCTAGTGTCAGACCTTCGTCAAGAGCCGGCAGAGCAGAGTTTTATCTGAACTCCCCAGCGAAAGGGAAACTCCCCCTCACAGCCTGCTAAGTAACTCGTGCCTTCCCAGACGCTGGGGTTACCTACCGCAAGGCCTGCCTGCTAAGTAACGGGCGCCTTCCCAGGCGCTGGTGCTACCGCAAGGCATTTACTCTCACCTCCTGATCACGTCTCACAATGTCCCTTCAGTTCCTAATTATATGTCACCCGATTATGTCTATAAGACTAAAGTGTTCCTACACTAAAGCAAAGATTAATAGAGAATAATGATGTAATAAGATTGATTATATAATTGATTATGTGATTGAATCTAATATCTATCTGGTGTCTTTACTATAACTAGGTAATCAGCAAATATATCATTGCTATAAGTAATCAGTAAAAATATTCGGTATCATTGCTATAACTAAGTAATCAGTTATTTATTATGTTGGGATAGATTGTGCCTTGTCTCTTGCTGTGGCACCTGGGCAACTTTCTTTCCACAGAGCTGAACTGGCACAAGAGTCTGCGGTAGCCCGGCTTCTACAAACCAGCCTGGGATTCGAGGTCCAGTGTCACTGTCTTTAAATCCTGGGAAAGGATGAGGTCTGAGTGGGCTGAGACTGCATCCGGTGTTACAGGGGCTGTGAGAAGATGAGGAGAAAGAAGTGGTCAACCCTTCTTGACAGCCCCGGATCCAGTTGTCCAACCCCCTACCTCCCACTGACACCCCTGTCCCACTCCCAGCTCCGCTCCATGCAGCCAGAGAGGCTTTCTCTTCCCAGTCACAGCCTTTGCGGTCTCCAGAAAAGTCTTAGGCCCAGCGCTGCCTCCTCCTTCTCAAAGTTAATCCCTAAATTTCACAACGTGTTGTTCTGTGGATGCAGAGAGAAGTTCCTCATTGGTGGTAGAGATCATTTCAACACCCAAAGATGAGACCATCTCTTCCTTGCCCATTTCCCCGGTCCCTAATTCCCAATATCTAAGAATTGCATCTAGTATAAGTGGTGTTGAGGCTCAGACTTTCTGAGCTCCAGTAATTTTCTAAAATGGAGTTCCTCAAACACAGGGATGAGTGACGTGTTGGAATACAAAAGGAGGAACAGTCACCACACACACACACACACTTCTAGGATCCCACGTTCAATCACAGTTTATTAAAGCTAGAAGTGTCTCCATCCACCCCTTACAGAGGCTTGCATGGTGGTTCCAGTTTCTGCTAAATATTTCAGAACGGGGACCTCATTCTATCTACTGATTTATCCAATCTCATTAATTAATTTCCCTTGCTGATGTGAGGGGTTGAGAGAGCTGGAGAATGTGGGAATGTAAGGAAGAGTGAGAGTGGTCGTGCTCATGGGTTTGACGGACTGTGACCCAGGTCGCAGATGCTCGTCTCTGGACTTCACGCCTGGCTGAACTGGTGCCCTCCATAAACAGCTGCTTAGAGTGCGCGGGCCGCTGCAGGGGCTCCCTTTCTCCACTAGGCGGCACCACAGCCAAAGCGATAAGAACACAAGCGTGGGGCGGGATGGCTGAAAGTTGTATTTTCCCTCCTTTTGCTCAAGAACTCGATTCCTTCTCCAGCTCTCTTCACCACCATCACCCCCCATCCCCACTCTCAGTAGCCCGAGCGCTGCCCCTTCTCCGCTCCTTCCACCCAATTCCACTCAGTCAGGAACCCACTCGCTCAGTGCCATTCTATGCTCCTACGTCTGAACAGCACCACGGCTCCCCGTGCGCTCTGAGCTGGCTTGCCTTGAAGGAACTTCACAAAACAAGCCAGGATTACTGTCAGCCACTCCGTGCCACAGGGAGCTCCTTGGACAGCCTCAGTGTCAAATCTCTTCGTGTTCTGACAGCTGGCTCTGCAATCAGATACCTCAGCATAAGAGGCCCCGGGGTGGCTTGCAAGGTGGCGGAAGAGGAACAGCTCCAGACTGCAGGTCCCATCGAGATCAGTGCAGAAGGCAGGTAATTTCTGCATTTCCAACTAAGGTACACAGCTCATCTCACTGGGACTCGTTAGACAGTGGATGCAGCCCATGATAGGTGAGCCAAAGCAGGGTGGGGTGTTGCCTCACCCCAGAAGTGCAAGGGGTCAGGGAACTCCCTCCCCTAGCCAAAGGAAGCCATAAGGGACTGTGTCATGAGGAATGGTGCACTCAGGCCCAGACACTATGCACTTCCCAACCTGCAGACCAGGAGATTCCCTTGGGTGCCTACACCACTAGGGCCCTGGGTTTCAAGCACAAAATTGGGCAACCATTTGGGCAGACACCAAGCTAGCTACAGGAGTTTTTTTCATATCCCAGTGGTGCCTGGAATGCCAGCGAGACAGAACCATTCACTCCCCTGGAAAGGAGGCTGAAGCCAGGGAGCCAAATGGTCTAGTACAGTAGATCCCTGGGACAAAGCACCTGGGGGAAGGGATGGCCGTGGGCACAGCTTCAGCAGACTTAAACGCTCCTGCCTGCCCACTCTGAGGAGAGCAGCAGATCTCCCAGCACAGCACTCAAGCTCTGCTACGAGACAGACTGCCTCCTTAAGTGGGTCCCTAACCCCCATGCCTCCTGACTGGGAGACATCTCCCACAGGGGTCAACAGACACCTCATACAGAAGAGCTCCAGCTGGCATCTGGCAGATGCCCCTCTGGGACAAAGCTTCCAGAGGAAAGAACGGGCATCAATCTTTGCTGTTCTGCAGCCAACACTAGTGATATCAAGGCTAACAGACCCTGGTATGGACCCCCAGCAAACTTCAGCCAACCTGCAGCAGAGAGGCAAGACTGTTGGAAGAAAAACTAACAAACAGAAAGGAATAACATCAACATCAACAAAAAGATATCCACACAGAAACCCCATCTGAAGGTCACCAAAATCAAAGACCAAAGGTAGATAAATCCATGAAGATGAGGAAAAGCCAGTGCAAAAAGCTTGAAAATGCCCAAAACCAGAACGCCTCTTCTCCTCCACAGGATTGCGACCCTCGCCAGCAAGGAAACAAAACCGGATGGAGAATGAGTCTAATGAATTGACAAAAGTAGGCTTGAGAAGGTGGGTAATAACAAACTCCTCCAAGCTAAAGGAGCATGTTCTAACCCAAAGCAAGGAAGTGAAGAGCCTTGAAAAAAGGTCAGAGGAATTGCTGACTAGAATAATTAGTTTAGAGAAAAACATAAATGACCTGATGGAGCTGAAAAACACATCATGAGAACTTCGTGAAGCATACACAAGTGTCAATAGCTGAATCGATCAAGTGGAAGAAAGGATATCAGAGATTGAAGATCAATTTAATCAAATAAAGCATGAAGACAAGATTAGAAAAAAAAAAAAGAATAAAAAGGAATAAACAAAGCCTCCAAGAAATATGAGACTATGTGAAAAGACCAAACCTACATCTGATTGGTGTACCTGAAAGTAACGGGGAGAATGGAACTCAGTCAGAAAACACTCTTCAGGATATTATGCAGGAAAATTTCCCCAACCTAGCAAGATGGGCCAACATTCAAATTCAGGAAATACAGAGAACACCACAAATATTTTCCTTGAGAAGAGCAACCCCAAGACACGTAATTGTCAGATTCACCAGGGTTGAAATGAAGGAAAAAATGTTGAGGGCAGCCAGAGAGAAAGGTCAGGTTACCCACAAAGGGAAGCCCATCAGACTAACAGTGGATCTCTCTGCAGAAACCCTACAAGCCAGAATACAGTGGGGACCAATATTCAACATGCTTAAAGAAAAGAATTTTCAAGCCAGAATTTTATATCCAGCCAAACTAAGCTTCATAAGTGAAGGAGAAATAAAATCCTTTACAGGCAAGCAAATGCTAAGAGATTTTGTCACCACCAGGCCTGACTTATAAGAGCTCCTAAAGGAAACACTAAGCATGGAAATGAAAAACCAGCCAGACACTGCAAAAACATACCAAATTGTAAAGACCATCAACACTATGAAGAAACTACATCAACTAATGGGCAAAATAACAGCTAGCATCATAATGACAGGATCAAATTCACACATAACAATATAAACCTTAAATATGAATGGGCTAAATGCCCCAATTAAAAGACAGAGACTGACAAATTGGATAGAGTCATAGGTGTGCTCTATTCAGGAGACCCATCTCACGTGCAAAGACATAGGCTCAAAATAAAGAGACGGAGGAATATTTACCAAGCAAATGGAAAGAAAAAAAAAAAGCAGGGGTTGCAATACTAGTCTCTGATAAAACAAACTTTAAACCAACAAAGATCAAAAAACACAAACGGCATTACATAATGGTAAAGGGATCAATGCAACAAGAAGAGCTAACTATCCTAAATATATATGCACCCAATACAGGAGCACCAGATTCATGAAGCAAGTTCTCAGAGACCTATGAAGAGACTTAGATGCCCGCACAATAATAGTGGGAGATTTTAACACCCCACTGTCAATATCAGACAGATCAACGATACAGAAAATTTACAAGGATATGCAGGACTCGAACTCAGCTATGGACCAAGCAGAACCAATAGACATCTACAGAATGCTCCACCACAAATCAACAGAATATACATTCTTCTCAGCACCACATGATACTTATTCTAAAATTTACCACATAATTGGAAGTAAAACACTCCTCAGCAAATGCAAAAGAACAGAAATCATAACAGACAGTCTTTCAGATCACAATGAAATCAAATTAGAACTCAGGATTAAGAAACTCACTCAAAACTGCTTAACTACATGGAAACTGAACAACCTGCTCCTGAATGACTACTGGGTAAATAACGAAATAAGGCAGAAATAAATACGTTCTTTGAACCAATGAGAACAAAGACAAAATGTACCAGAATCTCTGGGACATAGCTAAATCAGTGTGTAGCGGGAAATTTATAGCAATAAATGCCCACAAAAGAAAGCAAGAAAGATCTAAAATTAACACCCTAACATCACAATTAAAAGAACTGGAGAAGCAAGAGCAAACAAATTCAAAAGCTAGCAGAAGACAAGAAATAACTAAGATCAGAGCAGAACTGAAGGAGATAGAGACACAAAAAAACCCTTAAAAAAAATCAATTAATCCAGGAGCTGTTTTTTTGAAAAGATCAAAAAAATAGATAGACCACTAGCCAGACTAATAAAAAAGAAAAGAGAAGAATCGAATAGACACAATAAAAAATGATAAAGGAGACATCAGAGATGTCTCCTTCCTCAGAGAAGCTAGGAGAAAACTCTGCTCCCCCAAGCTCTTGCAGTGGGCCTGACGGCTGTCAGGTAGGCCCACAGATGTCCAGGGGCTTAATTGTCTCTATGTGATGCTATGCTTCAGTGGTCACGTTCCATGTCCATTTTCATGTTGCGCTTCTGCACCTGGTCCTTCTTTTTCTTAGATAGAATCAGTAAAAGCAACATAAATCTTAATGTCTTTTTTTCTTTCTTGACAAATATGGGAAAGTGCTGACGCATTATACTCCTCTCCTCTTGACTACTTGAAAGTCCTGAGCCTCTACCTATATGACACATGATGTACTTGACCCTATCACTGAACACTAACGCCTCGCCCTACCTACCCTGCCCCCTGCTTTGTACTAAATAAAAATCAGAGTGTGTAGGCACTCAGGGCCACTGCCAGACTCCACGCTTTGGTTGGCAGTGGACCCCTGGGCCCAAGCTCTCTTTCTCTTGATCTCAGTGTCTTGTGTCTTTATTCCCACACCAGTAGAGAGGGGCTTACAGGACTCTGTAGGGTTGGACCCTACAATTCTGGCCAGGGCAATCAGGCAAGAGAAAGAAATAAAGGGTATTTAAATAGACAGAGAGGAAGTCAAATTGTCTCTGTTTGCAGATGGCATAATTGTATATTTAGAAAACCCCATCGTCTCAGCCCCAAATCTCCTTAAGCTGATAAGCCACTTCAGCAAAATCTCAGGATACAAAATCAATTGCAAAAATCAGATCAATATCATGAAAATGGCCATACTGCCCAAAATAATTTATAGATTCAATGCTATCCCCATCAAGCTACTATTGACTTTCTTCACAGAATTGGAAAGAAACTACTTTAAATTTCATATGGAACCAAAAAAGAGCCCACACAGCCAAGATAATCCTAAGCAACAAATACAAAGCTGGACGCATCATGCTACCTGTCTTCAGATTATACTATAAGACTATAGTAACCAAAACAGCATGGTATTGTTACCAAAACAGATATATATATATATATATATATATATATATATATATATATCTCATGCCACACATCTGCAACCATCTGATCTTTGACAAACCTGACAAAAACAAGCAATGGGGGAAGGATTCTCTATTTAATACAAAAACAAGCAATGGGGAAAGGATTCTCTATTTAATAAATGGTGTTGGGAAAACTGGCTAGCCATATGCAGAAAACTGAAACTGGATCTTTTCCTTACACCTTATACAAAAATTAACTCAATATGGATTAAAATCTTAAATGTAAGACCTAAAACCATAAAAACTCTAGAAGAAAACCTAGGCAATACCATTCAGGACGTAGGCATGGGCAAAGACTTCATGACTAAAACACCAAAAGCAATGGCAACAAAAGTCAAAATTGACAAATGGGATCTAATTAAACTAAAGAGCTTCTGCACAGCAAAAGAAACTATCATCAAAATGAACACGCAACCTACAGAATGGGAGAAAATATTTGCAATATATCCACCTGACAGAAGGCTAATATTCAGAACCTATGAAGAACTTAAACAAATTTATAAGAAAAAAAAATCCCATCAAAAAGTAGGCAACGGATATGAACAGACACTTCTCAAAAGAAGACATTTATGCAGCCAACAAACATATGAAAAATAGATCATCATCACTGGTCATGGGAGAAATGCAAATCAAAACCACAATGAGACACCATCTCACCCCAGTTAGAATTTTGATCATTAAAAAGTCAGGAAACAACAGATGCTGGAGAGGAGGTAGAGAAATAGGACCACTTTACACTATTGATGGGAGTGTAAATTAGTTCAACCATTGTGGAAGACAGTGTGGCAATTCATCAAGAATCTACAACCAGAAATACCATTTGACCCAGCAATACCATTACTGAGAATATACCCAAAGGATTATAAATCATTCTACTATAAAGACACATGTATACGTATGTTTATTGCACCACTGTTCGCAATAGCAAAGACTCGGAACCAAACCAAATACTCAGCAATGATAGACTAGATAAAGAAAATGTGGCATATACATACCATGGAATACTATGCAGCCTTTAAAAAGGATGAGTTCATGTCTTTTACAGGAACATGGATGAAACTAGAAACCATCATTCTCAGCACACTAACACAAGAACAGAAACCAAACACTGTATGTTATCACTCATAAGTGGGAGTTAAACAATGAGAACACATGGACACAGGGAGGGGAACATCACACACTGGGGCATGTTGTGGGGTGTGGGGGTAGGCGAGGGATAGCATTAGGAGAAATGCCTAATGTAGATGACAGTTTGATGGGTGCAGCAAACCAGCATGGCACATGTACACCTATGTAACAAACCTGCACTTTCTGCGTACGTATCTCAGAACTTAAAGTGTAATTTAAAAAAAAGAAAGGTCTGAGTCTGTTTTTTAAAAACTCTTGAGGTTTTATGAGTCTCATATTGTAAAGAGATTTGTTATTATTTGCGTAAACACTTGCCACTTTTTTTTTTCTTTTGTGAGACAGTCTCACTCTGTTGCCCAGGCTGTAGTGCAATGGTGCAATTTCAGCTCACTGTAACCTCCACCTCCTGGGTTCACGCGATTCTCATGTCTTAGCCACCCAAGTAGGTGGGATTACAGGGGTATGTATGCCATCACACCTAGCTAATTTTTGTATTTTTAGTATGGATGGGGTTTCACCATGTTGGCCAGGCTGCTCTGGAACTCCTGACCTAAGTGAGCCGCCCACCTTGGCTTCCCAAAGTGCTGGGATTATAGGCGTGAGCCACCACACCTGGCCCTGCCACTGAAATTTGGATTTGCAAGTAGACTGCTTTATTTTGGTTGTACTTTATAAAAAATGGGTCGGCTTTAAAGAAACAGAAGAAAAAATAGAAAAAGAAAAAAATGTGTCAGCTTTGAGAGAAGAAACTTACTCATGACAAGATTATTCATGAAGGAAAGCTGGAAACTTAGAATAAAATTTGGAAAAAAAAAAACGTGGGTTTTGGTGTGGTGGATGAAATGTGTAATCCCAGCACTTTTGGAGGCAGAGGAGGCAGTATTGCTTGGGACCAGGAGTTCAAGACCAGACAGACTGGACAACATGGTGAGACCTTGTCTCTAAAAAAAAAAAAAAAAAAAAAAAAAAAAAAAAAAAAAAAAAAAAAAAAAAAAAAAAAAAAAGAAAAAGAAAGAAAAAAGAAAAAAATTCAGATAATTTTTAGAGTAGTTAAACTACTCTGTATGATACTATATTTGTGCAAACCCATAGAATGTACAACAGCAGGAGTGAACCCTAATGTATGCTATGGACTCTGGGTGATAATAATGTGTCAATATAGGTTCATCAATTAAAAGAAATGTACCTCTCTGGTGGGAGATGTTTATGATAATGGGGACCAGGCATGTGTGAGGGCAGGGGGTAAACAGAAATATCTCTGTACTTGCACTGTGACCCTAAAACTGCTCTAAAAAATAGTCTATGAAAATGTAAAAACAAAAACAGAAAAGGAGGGCCGGGAGACATTCTGGAAGAGCGACTTTCCCAGCAGAGGAGGCCCAAGACCAGCAGTGGGATGGGGCTGAGGAGTGGCAATTTGGTGGCCTTGATGTAACTGTTCTGCCCAGAGGAGTTTGTCCAGAAACCTGGTGCCCTGTGGGGGGCGAATACTACAGAGGTGGAGCTGCCTCCTTCTTGTCCCGCTTTTTCTTCTCTGTCTCTAGGAGTGAATAAATAAATTTATAATTTTCTACTACTTCTAAATACTTTAAAGTTTGGGATTAGTCGCTGTTTTGTGAGTTGCCTAAGTTTAAAATAATAAAACAACCATCTGCCTGTTCTCTCAATTGGCTGAGGAATGGGCATTCACTTACATCTGGCCTTCATGTAATCATAGAGACACAATTCTTCCCCTTTTCTCGCTTTCCCCAAATGGCAGGAGCAATCAACCATCATCTCTCACTTACAGCTCTTCATGTCATTTTTTCATGCTTTTGAAGAATCCGTTTTCATCTCTTTTCCTATCAGCCTGCAGGTGATCTGGGGAACAAAGAATGGAATGAAATGATAAGAGTCCAGAGGGGTTGAGTGAAGGACTCCGTATCACACAGCAAGGCACTGATTTGAAATGCCTGGGAGAAGTGGGAGCTGCATTTATCTCTCATATTCTTAGCAGACTAGGAAGGTATGAAACCCTTGAAGATGCCTTTTCTGCTTTCCTGTGGTGGCTGCCTAGCCCGGCACTGTCCAGTATGAATATAATCTGAGTCACAAATGTGAGGTGCCTACATAATTTTAAATATTTTAGCAGTCACATTTAAAAAGTAGAAGGAAACTAGTAAAAATTAATTTTATATATTTCATTTAACTCAATAGTCTCAAAATAATGTCACTTCAACATGTATTATAAAAATTATTGCTATATTTTTTTGTCTCTTTTTAGACTCAATCTTGTGAAATTAATGATTCTTCACATATAGCATGTTTGAATTTGGACTAGCTACCTTTCAAATGCCCATCGGCCCGGGTGGCTAGCAGCTACCAAATTGGACAGTTCAGAGCTGGCCCCTTTCTCACTACCTGACGAAGGTAGGTGCTCGGGACAGAATGCTCTGAGGCTTCACTCTCTAGCTTCAGAAGAAGGCCTACTGTGGGAAAAGCCGCCCAGGATCCAGGTGGGGTAAAAGGAGCTCCCCACTCTCCTAAACCCTGGATGGCAGTCCTGCCTTCTTCCCCATGAAACAGGGCTTGAGAGGCGGAACCAAGACACACCTCCTGAAAGGGGAGGCTGAGTGCCCTCATCTCCCAGTTCACCTCTGCCAGAAACAGGGGCAGAGCATAAGAGACTTTTGCAGGTAGAGGATGAGCCCAGAAGTTGGGGACAATGGCCCATTCCTGGCCTAGATTTCCCATAGGGGTGCTGGACTGAGTGAAGTGCTGTACGGCGGAGCCCCTAGATGGGGAGCTACTTCTGGCCCCAGCACCCTTCCTCCAGTGTCCTGCAGCCCCAAGAGGGCACAGGACAGCCTGGGGCTAGGTAGTGGAATAAGCATGGGCAGCTTCCCTGAGAGCCATCAGCCCAGTCATGAGGACTGCTTGGGCTAGACTCGGTGGCCCTCTTAGGAGGCATCTGCAAATCTAGAGCAGAGGAAACATTGCCAGGGAGCACTTCACATACAAAGCCCTTTGGACACTTTGGGGACCAGCCACGCCCATCTCCATCTATGGGCTCCAGACTCAGTCACCTTGAGCAGGAAGAACCAACGCTCATAATAAGAACTGTGGAGATCGGACCTGTGGTGTACACAGATTCCCTACCACCTCCTGTATTGGGCTTGAATAGGGCCAGGTGATCATTGTACCTTCTTCTTTGGGGTAAAAATAAAATAAAAGAAGGAAATAGGGCCAGGTGGGAGTTGGGGGACTCTGTGTGTGTGAGTTTGTGTCTGTGAGAGAGGGAGAGAAAAGGGAGATGCCCAGCAGACCACACTGATCTCCCCCACTCCAAACCAGATGGGAAAGGGCTGGTCCGCTTTATTGAAATCCCAAACTAGAACCAAACTATTCTCTACCTGAAGAGACTATAAAGGTACTGGATTGGTTGAGATCATGCCCAGTGGGATAGGAGGAGCTGGGCAAAGCAGAGCATTAGTGGACAGAAGAAAAACTCAGACCACAAAATTAAGAATCTGTTTATGTCTGCCGAGTGGGGATGCCTGGCTAAATGGGTGGGGATCTTGGGGCATTGCCCTGGTCCTCCTTTTCCAGAGTCCCAAGGGAAAGTGTTTATGTATGGAGGGCTGGGGGTCAGGGCAGAGGAGAGAGCGTGGAACTCCTGGTGATAATTTCAGAACATTCCTTCTAGCTGTCTTTGTTCCAGGCTTAGACCAACACAGCCTTCGGAGTAAACGGTGTCCTTACAAATACCAACCCTTCTTCCTAGTTGCAAACACAGATGGGTTTCTTAAACATATCTGGCCGAACATCTAAAATCCAAGTCATCCACTACTGTTCTGCTGATTTCTGTTTCCCTGTAAGGCTGGAAGAGGGATTTCCGCAAAATGTCACTGATAATTTATTTTCTTTTCCTCTATAGTCAGGAGAAGACACCAGTGTGCACCAGAGAAGCAAAAGCCAGAGATCACAGTCCTTGCCTGAGGGCCACCTCTGGCCCACCAGACAACTCAGCACCAACTTCCCAACAGACACTGCTCTAGACCAGGCATCCACGTGTGGAATAGGTCCAGGCCCTCTTTATGGCTCTCACAGTGGTCAGGGAGGCAGAGAAGTAACATAGCTTGAAGACAGAATATAAGAAATGCCTGGGAGGAGACATACTGAGGCATGGAAAGTGCTCAGCCAGGAGCCTGGCATTAGAAGGGCCCAGGGATTATTGACATGTATGAGTCAGTTCTGTTTCAATGGAGTGAGCAGGGAGAGAATCTCCTAGAAGTAGATGAATGGAGGAAATGCAGCCTCTTCCTTACCTTTTCATTGTTTCAGGCTCTCTGTGATGGAGTCGTATCTTGATTTTGCTTCACTGAGTTTTCTCTCCAGCTCCAAAGGAACAGGGGTTGGCTTGAGAAACTGAAATCCTTCACTCCTAGGAAGATGTGGCTGAGCTCAGTGGTGAGATCAGGGGATGAGGTCTGGGAGAAGGAGGATCTGAGATGTGGGGCTGAGAAATGAGGGGATGAAGACCTAGGGTAGGACCGGGAGCAGCAGCTCACGCCTGTAATCCCAGCACTTTGGGAAGCTGAGGCGGGTGGATCACTTGAGGTCAGGAGTTCGAGACTAGCTTGGCCAACATGGTAAAACCTCATCTCTACTAAAGATACAAAAATTATTCAGGCTTGGTGGCAAGTGCCTGTAGTCTCAGCTATTTGGGAGGTTGAGGCAGGAGAATCACTTGAACTCAAGAGACAGGGGTTGCAGTGAGCTGAGATTGTGCCACTGTACGCTAGCCTGGGCAACAAAAGAAAAACTCCGTCTAAAAAAAAAACAGACCTGGGGAGGGCCAGGGCTAGGGATATGAGGCAGGAATAAGGTAGGACATAGGGAGATATATGGAAATGAAGGTGAGAGATGGAGACAGAGAGGAGAGGAAAAAATGGGGTCAGGGAGACAGAGTAGGGGTCCCAGGAGCTATTCAGTTGAGCAAGGGGGCATTCAGGAAATAGGAGAATCTGTGTTGAAGAAGCAGGAAGCCTGAGAAAACAGCTGGTTTCTTTAACAACCAACCACCTGCTAATATGGTTGGCCTAGCCTTCCCCAGCTGTAGCCTAAATGTCTTTCGTTATCACTGGGTGTTTTTCTGAGGGGTCAGTGTAATCAGGGGTTCCAGGAGCTTTGGCAGAGATGTCTCTGCTTCCGGAGATCACAGGATGGAGTTTTTCTTACCCCGAAGACACGGATGCTCTGTTCGCCTTGTGCCTTCATTTGTACGGTCTCTCCTTTTGCTGTAAGACTTCAATCTGCGCTTGACTCTGCCCCTGCAGAGAGAGGGCCGTTCCGCGCAGGCTGTGCCTGGTGATTTCTGGGCCTCATAAAATCCTCCGGTCTCTTAGGAGAGCACGTGACACTCTCCAGGTGAGTCCTTGTGTAATTATTAAGGACTCGCCTTTCTCAAACTGGGGGAAAAGGGGTTGCTGGCAGGAGGAAATCTGGAGCCTAAGTGACCTAAACGAACAGAACATGGTTTTTTATGACTGAGACTATGGATGGTGCTTTGGGATTATCAAAGAACTCCTACCCACTTCCCTTCATCTGTCCTACCAACAACTTTAAGAGAGATGTTTTGTTTCTGCCATTTGAAAGGTGAGGTAACTGAGGCTCAGAGAGGTAAAGTGATTCTTGCAGGTTGCACAGCAAACTCAGGAAACTGAACTTAAGCCCAAACCTTCTGAGTCAGATTTTCATATCCTTTCCATTCTGCCTTGAGTCAGCAGTTCCGCAGACTCAGCTCTTCGAACCCACTGTGCCTGACTGTAAGCTGCCCACTCAAGCCCAAGGGGTGGGGGCAATGGGGTGCAAACCCACAGTGGGAAGGTAGCAGTTTCCAGGGCCTCACGGAATGCCTGGGCTGACAGGGGAGCAGGCAATAAAACCTCAAATGTCTACCTGATAATTCTTGGCAGCTTCATTGATCAAGCTGGCATTATGAGATTTGTGATCCTTGGATTCACGACACACAAAACAGAGGAACTTTCCATCATCCTTACAAAAATAATGGAACATCTCCTCGTGCCCCAGGCATGTAGGCATTTTCCTTTCAGACTGCACCTCAGAGGCATCTAGAGCTTGGATTTTCTCCACCAGATTCACCAACAGTCAGTTGGACACCATTGTATTCTTCCTTACAGAAGTTTTGCAGAGAGGACATTTGAAAAATTCGCATGATGCTTCCCCACTCTGAGTGATGCATTTGAGGCAGAAATTGTGCCCACAGTTGATGGTGACAGGTTTTTCCAGAACGTCCAGGCAGATGGAACAGATCACTTCCTCTTGCAGTTTGTTCACGAACTGCCCACGGGCCATGACAGAGCAGCAGGGCTGTTGCAAGACTGTAGGAAGCTGTGTCAAGTCTGTAGGAGTCCAGGAATCCACTGTGGTCACTGCTTCTAGGAAGGGAGAAGGGAGTCAGAAAAGGTGGAGGTCAGAGATTCTGCCAATTAGTTAGAAGAGCAGGGAGAGAGGAAAAGAAGAGGGAGAAAAAAAAATAAAAGAATGATAGAAAAGGGTAAAATTTAGATCTAGAAAATGTTATAGAGAGGAAAACAGGTGGGCAATCCTACCTTGCTATCTCTTGAGAACAAATGGATATTTTGAATGTGTAATAGGCTGCTTATAAAGTGGGATAAGTTGTCCTGGACTTTGAACTAAAGATATGTTTGTATGGTGGCTAAGATCAAAATGATGGGGTCACCAAACACCACTCACAGGGGATTTTCATCAGCTCTGAGTAGGGAGTGGAGGGGTGGGTGGGGACGCCTGCCGAAAAGTCACAGCTAGTTCACCACAATGCTTTGGGCATCTTGTATGCAAAGTTCAAGCCTGGGTACAGCATCTGGAAATGAAGGGAAGGGCAATTCTCTACCTTAGGTACTTTGGTTCCTCACAGAATTTTGTGAAAATGTGGAGGTTATCGTCACCTGCCTTGGAGAATTTCCAGTCACAGGGCCAACCAACCACTACCTAGTTCAGCGGGAGAGGCAAGGAATTTCCTTTCTGAAAAGTCGTTCTTTGTTTTTGTACTTTGCTCTGGCCCCTGGTGATCTTCTGCCTCCCCACAGCACCTGCAACAGTCTGTCCTCTGTCAGTTTTTTCCCTGCGTGTCTCCAGTGCGCTGGTGTCTCCATGCCTGTTCTTTGCTTTGCCAGTTCTGTCTATATGTGCTTCTTCTTCCTTCTTGGTGCTTCTCTGGTCCCTGACTCGCCTTCCCCTATGGCTTCTGTTCTGACTAGGAATACATCAACCAGTGTCACATACATTCCCTTCTGTACATTCATGTCCTAACCTTCCCTCCTTGCCTCTTGTCTTGAGGAAAAAGATGCTTCCTCCCTACGTCTTCCCTTGGCCTAGCTTCCACCCTCCCTCCCTTATCTCCATTATCAGCCATCTGTCCCCAGCGAGGAGTACACCATTAATATTTATCTGATCTAATTTTAGGTCAAACAGGGCTTGTGGATGATTTTATAATAATAGCCAGAGTAATCATACATTCTGCTTTGCCTGGAGCCATCCTGGGTTTCACTTTGTCCTGGTGTAATTATTAATAGCACCTCCTTTCATTTTCAGAAATGTCCAGTTTGGACGATGAATTATGTGGTTCCCCTAATTATAGCAACTGCTGTAAACCAAGGACTTTCAGAAATGTTATACCTCCAGGCCTGTTTATTTGCTTTAGGGTTGAATTAAAACAACCTAACATCTACAAATTGTTTTACTTATACTCCTAAACTGCTGGCCCCGAGAGGCAGAATTTAACTTTTGACAGGTCTTGTTTGACTGGCGTGATGATTTAGAAAACAATGGTAATGTAAATGCCTTTAGGGAGGGTGGCTATGTTTTTCACCACTCTGCTACCTCACGTCTTTTTGGCCTTGAAGACAATTTGACATTATGACCCTGATTTATAGATTTATTTTGCTTATATTACCTCATTTAAGTCTTAACTGTAAGAAATTATCTTTATCCATTCTCAAACAAAGCAACTCAGTATTCTTCAGAATCACTTGGAAAACTTTTAAAATTCAGATTTGTGGAACTCCAGCACAGGCTTTCTGTTTCAACAGGTCCTTGGTGGGGCCTGATGATTGACATCTGAAGCAAATTCCCTGGAGATGGTGATGCTGCTGATAGAGGCCCACACATTGATAACCCCTGGTTTAGAGACGCTACTAATTGTTCCAGCTAATAAATGACAGCTCTCAGACTTAATTCCAGGTTTCCTAGTCCATATTACATCTTCTTCATTCTTTCTTGTTTCAGCATTAACAAAAACAAAGAGTAATCTTTAAAAATGATAAACAAATATTTTAAAAGATCATTAGTATTTCAATGAAGTTGGGCAAGCCAGCAGAAGGAATGAAAATACTCATATGAACACCATTGGAGAATTTCAAACAACTATCACCAAACAGGTACCGATGGCTTCATGAGGAAGGAAATTTAGAAATAAAGGAGAATCTATAGTGTTTCAAAGGTGCTTTACTCTCTCAAATTATTATTATTATTATTTTTTTTTTTTTGAGACGGAGTTTCGCTCTTGTTACCCAGGCTGGAGTGCAATGGCGCGATCTTGGCTCACCGCAACCTCTGTCTCCTGGGTTCAGGCAATTCT